ATAGGACGGTGAGTTACCGTGGCAACGAAGGACACAAGGTTCGTCGTAACGTAAAGTAACGAGTTGAGCTCGGTTCAACTTTTCTCACAGCACCGATTTCTTACGTTATGACTAAGTCACCGAAACATTCGTGTCTCGAATGCCTCCTGTCAGGCTATTTGCTTGAATTGGTAGCCACGCTTAATGCGAAGCACAGATTTCCCGGTGACTTTTCGTAACGTAACGCAAGAAAACGGGGCAGTGTGAACCAGCCTTAAGTGTAAAACAAAGCGTAGTTCTGCATTTCACCGCATGAGCCTTGCCGATCGAATCTCGAGGCGAATAGCCTTCGCTGCGGTACAACATAAAATGAAACGGAGTATGCTTAGCTCCGCGGCGTTCTACCAAATTTTGTTCTGCCGTTCCCGCACGCTCTCATCTCATTTTCTCCCTCAGTTTCTCGGCGCATGTGACATGTGCTTCCACTGAGCAAGTGCTCTTTCGATGGGAGCATTTTTTTAGAGCACAGCTCTTTGGCGCCCGTTTCCGGCTTGAGTGGCGTTGCCGTCGCCGTCGGCATAACTGCGGAGACGTTTCGGCATGGTGACGTTTCGGCACCGTGCCGAAACGTCCTCATGACCCCCTCAGGGGAGTCATGTGACCCGCCTGACAGGGGTTTTGAGCGGGGTCACGTGACCCCCCTGAGAGGGGTCCTAAGGGGGTTCACGTGACCTCAGGGGGTCCTGAGTGGGACCTCGTGACCCCCTCAGGGGGTCCTTAGGGGGGCACGTGACCCCTCAGAATCTCACGTGACCCCCCTGAGGTCATGAGGTTCACGCGACGTCAAGAGGGTGACGTGACCTCACGATTACGCCGACGGCGACGGCACTCGGAGGCAGGAGTAGCAGGCAGGATGAGGAGGTGAGGAGGAGGAAGGAGGGGTAAACCCTTCCTTCAGTACCTTACCATCCTCCTCCTCAAGAGCTGCGCCCTTATTCGGCGTTACAAGGAGTTGTAAACGGCTTTCATTTTTTTAATGAAGTGCTTGAATTTGTTTGTACCGCGATCACACTGAAACCTCATTGAGAACTATTCGCTTTGAGCAACGGAAATGGAACGCGGAACTTTATACCGGACATCTGCGAACCGTGGTGTTTTCGGGCGGTTGTCTACACGAACCCCAAAGGGTGCAAGCATAAGATCATGCATGACTTACAGGACGTTTTCGGGATGCATAGGCGTCAGGAAGCAAGGAAGGCAAGCGACCGAACAGGCTAGTCCTACCACGACATAGTAGAAGTAGAGCTTGGAGTAAAACCGGAAGCTTCTGCTGCACTTAAACAGGACCGAGAAAGCGACGATCAAAGCGGCGATTAACCATTTCCCAACTATGGCCATGATCAGACCGCACAGCTATCACAGTTCAAGATGAAGCACGCGGCAGTGTCCAGAGTGTCACGTACGAGACTGCAGCCCAGGCTACCAGCGCGATAGCAAGGGACCTTGGCTTTGAGACGTTCTTTTGCAGAACCTGCGCTCGCACGATTAGACGCAGCCGATGCAACAAGCGCGAGAATGTGACCCTGCTGAACTAGTGCCGCAGTGCCTCGACTGCACGAGCGCGCGTGCTTGGCAGGACACTGGAAGCCCGGAGCTCGCGCTTTTTAAGCTGAAACTAGTGCCACTAAATAAGCTACGCTTCAGAGTAACGACACTTGGCCATATTGTGTCGTAAAATCATGGTTGCCAGTTATCTGAAGCTTTATCTGAAATCACAGGAAACGTCTTTCCGCCCTCCACAAATGTTTAAATAGTTCGTGACAGAGCAAAGCAATATTGCGTGACCTTTCCACAACCGAATCTAATGCTGAAGAAGTCGCACTTTTGAATCATGACGATCGACAGTTGCGTCTGCTCTGCATACGAGCCAAAATGGCGGCGCCCACAACAATGCCGGGGAACGGAGTGCCGATACTCTAAGCGCAGCTCATTTAGTGGCTCTAGCTGAAACGATGTATAGGCGTCAAAGCATGGAGCGCGGACTTTAGCTCGTGATTGTATTTTTGCTAGTCCACCATTGCTTTGGTGTCATTGTCTTATTTTTTCTTGCGTCTTTCTTTTCTTTTCTTTTCTTGTTGTTATTTGTAGTATTTTGAGTCTAGTGGTTTCTCACGAAGCCTGGCAGTTCGACGACGGAGCCATAGAGTGCCCTGCCGCAGATTTGGAGCGCCAGGATCTGGTAGCACAGAGCATCAAAGTGCCATTTCTCGAGGGAACATGGACGTCAGCGCACAACTTTTGCAACGGCAAGGACCCAAAAAACACTTTCGAGTCCTCGGGTCTCGCCGTAGCGTCTCGCGGCAACGGCGACGCTGCGTTTCGGCGCCTCGCCGCAGCGGGGCGCCAGTCACGTGGCTCTCCTCTCATCCGTTGTCTGCCGCCCCTCCTTTCCTATTTCGTGGCGATCTGCCAGTAGATACATGTTTTCTGTTTCCTGTCGTTCTTAGTCGCGTGGGTTCCGTATCTGGTATGCGAGACGAACAAAAAATAAAACTTTGAACCTGGAATATGATAGTAAATATAGGTGAGGCAAAACAAGGATGTATGACAATCACGAATTTTTCGTAAACACTTTCCAGCGGTGTGGAGGGATCAAAACAATGCTTTACTGCATACCAGTAGTGACAACATTCAAGATGGCTGCGCCCTTGTGGAAAACGTGTATAGGATGCTATGTCTGAGCTAGCACCACAATATAGTGCAGCGCATTTAGTGGCTCTATTGGCGACCTGAGCGATCGAATGCGTCGCTGCAGTCGGCCCACCACAATTGGCCGAATGCTGACTATGACGTCAGCAATGGATTTCTCATCGACGCAAATAAGAGGAATGTAAGAACTTCAGTTTTGACGGTGTTGGCACTGTTGCTTTGAGAGCTCTATGATTTGAGGCTTTCACCATGCTCATTGCAAACACCATCGAGCTTGTTGTTCGCAAGGTAATGACGTCACGAAAGGTAACCAAACGAGGGCGCCACCGAAACATCTCACCGCTAATACTCTGAGCTAGAGCCACTAAATAAGCTGCGCTTAGAGTATCGGCACTCCGTTCCCCGACATTGTTGTGGGCGCCGCCATTTTGGCTCGTATGCAGAACAGACGCAACGGCCGATCGTCATGATTCAAAAATGCGACTTCCTCAGCATTAGATTCGGTGTTAGGAAGGTCATGTAATATTGCTTTGCTCTGTCGCGAACCGTTTAAACATTTGTGGACGGCGGAAAAGCATTTCCTGTGATTTCAGATAAAGCTTCAGATAACTGGCAACCATGATTTTAAGCCACAATATGGCCAAGTGTCGTTACTCTGAAGCGTAGCTTATTTAGTGGCACTACTCTGAGCGAGATAAGCGCGTGCCTCACTCGCAGGGGCGTGTTCTCAGCTCGTGCTGGGATCGCTCTGAAACAGTTGACACTGAGATTTTGATTAAATCAGTCAAAAGCATGGTGTAAGATACTCTCTTTAGGAGAGGGCACGGCGTGGCTGAACGCGCGGCGCGACGAATCAGATAGTGTTCGTTCGACGGGCATCCGAAAGACTGCATTATTCGGCTGCCACCGTGCCCGCGGCTGAGAGTGTCGCCGGCGGCCAAACGGCGAAACTGTGTGACAGCGAAAAAAATTATCTCGTTGCCATGACACCCCTGTACATCGTGGTCTTTCTGCACGTGCGACAACCTCGCTGGAGCTCTGCGCGTGTGGTAGATGAGGCGGCACGAGCCGTCTTGTACGTGCCCATGCGTGCCCACGGGTCGACGAGTCACCTGCCGGTGCCGCTTGAAACCATAGTGAGAGAGTGTGAAGAGCGAAATTTATTGGGTACGTCGCGAGGAATGCGCTCTCCTCACCTGAAGAATATTATCTTACACCGTGGTCGAAAGTCAGCCGGTGTCCTTGCTCGCCCTCGGTGGGGCCCTCGAGGACGCTGGTCACCGCCGTTACCGGGTCTCCGTCTTAAATGCGCTTCAACCCCGGCCGTGACCACGGCTGCAGGAGCTGCAGCTTTATCGTGACAGCGACAAGGCCAGATCATTGACAGCACTGGCGTTCGAGGCCCGCCATCTTGGTTTCCGCCACTTCTGACTACGTGACAGTCTCTTTCAGACCCTGGGAGGTTTTCTCAGCACCACAAAAAATGAACCAGATCTGCCCCACAGTTAATGCGAAGGCAGAGGGAATCGCACGGAACAAGTGTAGTAAGAAGCACGTCAGGCCGTTCGTCTCATGTGTTACGGGAGTAATTAACAGTATCCCCCTCTCGTGCGGCCGCACCTACGCGGGACAAACGGGACGTTGCCTGAATGTAAGGCTCCGCGAGCACAGGTACTCCCTCGAAGCGACAATGTTGGAGGACACCTATCGGTTCACTACAAAGAGTGCTTGCGCAAGCCATTTTTAGTGCCACCACCATCTTGGGACGACACAGGAACAAAGTGACACGCGAGGTGCTGGAGACCTTCCACACCTTGAGTAGAGAAGAAAAATGTGTCAGCGCAGCAACAGTGGCGTTGTCTGGCAAGGAGCTGGAATTCCTGAAGTTGACAATGAGGCTCCAGCGCGTGCGGTGTTCAGCTACCATGGGCGAAAGGTGCGCGTGCGATTGCGTGGAGCAACGTGTCCTTTTCTTTCTTTTTCTTTGAGTAAAGAAACTTTAGTTGCGAGTCAGCGCTGTGTCCTACTCTGTCCTGTTTGGTTTGTCTCTTCCTTTTTGTATCTTTTGCGCTGTTTTATTTCATTATGCACGTGCCCAAACGATGGCGGACTCGGATAAATGCCGTAGTAACTACGGGATGGCGCGCATTTTTTAAACGGGCACATTTATTGACGGGCACCGGCTAGGCTTGACCTAGCTCTGCAGGCAGATAAAGACGTTTATTCCTCCTCCAATAGATACATCGGAATCTCTAAAACGTCAGCGTAATAAAACATGATTTTTGTACTACGTATTTAGGGCGTTACGTTAATCTTCAGAATGCACGCCGTCGTCACGCGTCAGACATCTGATCCCAACAAAATGGTGCAATAAATTACGGCAGTGAAAACACCCTATAACACGAAAATAACAGACATTTCTCACACGAGTATCCTATGTGCTCGCGGTGTATCTCTTTTTTTTTTTTTTTTTTCCTGTTTATTTTGAAAGTTGTAACGGCTGCTGTGCATCTCAAACAAACACGTCCACGTCCTCAAGCGTATTTCAAATCTCTACGAAACTGCCGCTCGTGGACGGGAAGCCGGATTTCCGGCTGCTGCCAGTTCCTCGTCGATGTGAGTCTGCATGACGTCATACACCCTCCGACTGAGCTCGGTGACGTGCTCTGACGAAAGCCCTTCGGTGCTCATCTCGGGCAACACGGTCATGGTCACCTTGCCTGGAAACAATTGTGAAAAAAAAAAAAAAATTAAAAAAAAAATCCTGGTTCTTTGCAAACAACATAAGATCCTGAAATTTCAGCCGCTGTCCTGCTGCTCCCTGCCATCCTCTTGTTAGTGATCATAGAAGGTTACCACTGCCGGGTAGCGCTAGAGGTCACAACCAGATGCCAAAGTTTCAGCCCGATTCGATCCCTTATTTAAAAGTTATAAGTGATTTTTTGAAAATTTCAATGGGGACATGGAGCCCATTTTCGACTGTTTTCGGTTTCTGGTGCCATAGAGCCCCATGTATTCGAAAACTCCGTCGGCCGCCATTTTCCCATTGAAAGTTTCAGAAAATCACTTATAACGTTTGATTAACTTATCGGATCGGGCTGAAACTTTGGCATCTGGTTGTGACCTCTAGGGCTACCTTTGGGCGGAGAATGAGCGTTCGGCGATGCCTATAGTTTATTTTTGCGGTAAAGAAAGCTGTGTAAATTTTTTTTTTTTGGTGACACCGTGTACATGTAGACCAAAAAAAAAAAGAAGAAGCAAAAACGCTATCATCGCAAACGTTCCACGAGGTGCTTATACTAAACCCCTTTTCCATAACACAAACCTTCTTTCGTTTCCTCATCTATATTGGTATTTTTAGCGTTATAACTGGGAATAAAATTCCCCAAATTAGACGTCTCATTTAACCGCGAACACTAACACCTACAACTTGCGGCATGACTAGACAGTTCCCCATAGTCGAACAAATTGTAGCATTTAACGCACGGCCCTCAAGTCAACAAGGAGTGTTTTCGCACAATTGTGATAACAACTAACAATGTTGGTTCTGTTCCTTTTTTTTTTTTTTTTTGGTTTGTTTTTTCAATCTTTTTGAGACATGTTAGTTATCGTTTCGCTGATGTCGTAGCTCGTTTTGCAAAGCAGACGGGAGAGCAGACCTTGTCAAGCCAACAACTGTTGGCTTTTTGTCTGCCCGCCGCCATCTATACTTGTACAGGTGCAAATAAAATGATTAATTGATTGATACTGCCTATACTGTGTCAGTGGTGAGACAGTCATGCGCAACTCATTTATGCAAACGCTAACTCACCTACCTTTATTATACATCCACTCGTTGGCATTGAAGAAATCGGAGTAGCTCGAAAACACGATGGGAACAATGGGCACCTGCAGAAAAGAGACAGCGAAGAAGTGAAAGTACAGTATTCGAAAGGTCTCCGGTAACGCGTGTTCTGTTCGATGATTGCAAGTTTAGCGGCACAGGCCTGTAGCGTAAATATTCTGTTCAAAAATGTGCTTGCTGTTCACACGCTGAACACTTATTGAATTTGCCTTTTTGGTTTTACTGATTTTCGTTCTCTTATATACATAAAGAATAAATCAATGTAGATGCCTGTCACGAGAACGGTATGACCGTCTGCCTGATTACCATTAAAGCACTGTACACGAGTCAATAATATTATGGTAATAGTACAAGGTACAAGTATACCACATAATCTCGCACAGTGCACGCACACACAAACACATCCACGAAGACCCATACATTGGACAAACCCCGGGCCCGCCCCACTTTATCGTGCTAAATTATTAAAATATATGGACTATTTCAATCACGCCATCTAACGTAAAATAAAACAAAAGAATTGAGTATTACTTGGTGTTTCATAGGGTTAGAAATATCGCCATGTGATGTACAACTCTAAATAAATAATGAAATGGTGTTGTTGTTGTTGTCGTTGTTGTTGTTTCTTTTAGCGTGAAAACATTTGTAAATAATTTATTAAAGCGTCCTTTTATACTGGTTACTAAACTACTAGCGCGAGCTAGCACACGCTCCTGGCTTTGAGACGGGCCATTGACGTGCCCTTCTAACGCGAAAGCTCACTCTTCGGAAGATCGTTTCAAGGCCGCGACCTGGTGCTCTCATGCTTGTGGCAATGGGAGTATACTTGTGGCTTCGGTTTCGATTACTGGAATGACGTCATATAGTCATAAACCAAGGAGCGCAATCATGGTGGTTGTCACGTGGGCTCTAGAGCTTGTGACGGATTCGAAATTGTCGGAAGGCTCCAGTTCCAGTACAAGGAGTGCACGTGTGCCACGTCACATTATTTGGGTGAAGAAAACGAGCAATAAAGAGCCATGTTGTTCATTAATTCTTTTGGTTTCTTGTAGTGGTTGGTGTGCGTCAGGTCGCATTTTTGTTAGTAATACCCTATTCGATATTCGCTTCGAGATGGACTGTGATGTTTCCCGTTGAGTGCGCTTCTTATCGAGCACCGGTGCACTGCGCGGGAGCAGCACCCGCAGAGCTGGCTTTCGCGGGTGTGGCTTTCCCGCAATGTACCGATGCGTGGTAAGAAGCACACTCAACGGGGCTAACCTGCCGCGATCAACACTTCGAAGACAAATATCGCAGCCGCGTGCTCACGACTCAGACGAAAAGCCAATTTCCAAAGAAGAATGGTGCACGCGTGCGCCTAGTGTATTAAAAAAAAAAAACAGAAACTTCATGAATTAGAGGTAACTTTTCAAAAATTAAACTGTCACGCATGAGTATTTGTTAAGCAGAGATGCCCTGGCAACCTGTGTTATTCATACGAGATTGAAGGAAATATATTTGCGTATAGCAAAAATATTTTTAAATACGCTCAATTAAGCACAGCTGGGCATCCTTAGATTTAATTTTATGCCAAATGCGCCGTTTATTTACCATCCCAATGCGGTCATTGGGCTTTCGGAGGCCACAATATAGTTAGATCAAAATTAACTTAAATTATAAATCTAGAAGTGGATGCTTGGCAACAACCTTCACAAGTTCAGCTGAGTTTTCTTTTAAGCATGTTGCAGTAACAAAAAGCTTTAGAAAAAATATTCGATATTCGATTCGGAAATGTTCGACCAAAACAACTATTTGCTTTGAACTCGCTTCAAACTCAAATTCCACAATTCGCACACAGTCCAATGGAGAAAAGTAATGAAGAATTTATTTCATTTTGTGGGCTCGCGTAATCTTGCGGTGCTGCGCGCTTATGTGCGGCGCTATAGAGGGGAGCGGCTTTCCCCGTTTTCAGTGGTGACAAAAAGGGCCCCGCCGGCCCATCAGAGGAGAGTTCGACCGGACGCACAACGAGATGGTAATAAAACCTTGCTCCTGGTGTACCTGCGCCGTCCTGGTTAGTACACCGAGGCAGACGGCGGAAACCGAAAGCCACAGTCCTTCAAAAAGTTAATCGAGGTTTTGATATTTCTGGTACGTTTCTTCCACCGAAGAACTTATACAATCTCACGGTCAATTAACTATTCATCGAAGCAGCTAGCTGTACGCACTACGCATAAGCAAAAGACCGTTTAAAAAAGAAGAAGAAAAAAGCGAAGGTTCTACACCTGCTCCGTTTTACAGCCAGAACCGCAGCCCAGGCCCCCACGCCCGCTCCTTTGAAGACTCGTAAAGGTATAACCTCTCTAACTAACGGATTGGGATGCTTTTAGAAAAATGTGTCTCAAAACGAATTCGTCGCCCCGTAATTGCGACCTCGAGGAGTGGGCTCAGGACCTCTGTAAAGACGCAAACAGGTACGCCAAACAAGTTAGTTTAACGACCACGGTGACAGAGGTTGATGCTTGACTCCTGCACCTCTGGGAGGCCAGGCGTGGTCTCCTCAAGAGGTGGCGACGACAGATACTCAACCGCAAACTCAAGATCAAAATTACCCAGCAGACGGAAGAAGCGCTCCAATACGCAGCTGGTCCAATCCAACTGGCACCACATGACCAACAAACTATACAGGGGACGCTCGGTACGGCGAAGACATGGTCGCTCATCCGCCATCTGCTCGATCCGACCAAGAGTAAGAACAACACCAGTTAGACACTACGCAAGATAGTGCACAACTTCAAGGGCACAAACGAAGAAATCCCGCAGAAGTTGATCAACAGATACATTGGTGAAGCACCCAGCGCCGAATACCAAAGCTACGACGGCCTACCTAACCCAAACCTGGACCGACCTTTCACTGAGGCCGAGGTTGTACGGGCAGCACAAGACCTAACACGGAACACCTCGCCGGGTAGAGACAAAATTCAGAACCGGCTCCTCGGAAACCCCGACGCAAATTCATACTCCACCCAAACCCAACACTTCAACGACGTGTGGGCGTCAGGCAAATTTCCTGCAGGATGGAAACACGCAGAGGTCGTGCTTGTCCCCAAACCCGGTAAACCCCCAAAGCTGGACAACCCCAGGCCCATCTGGCCTGGCCCCTATACCAACTGTAGACAGCGAACCTACCAATATGTCCGAGATTTCCTCTCGCACCGCACAGCCACCATCGGCGTTGAATCCATGCATCCGCACGGACGTCCTTGAGGTTTCGGGAAAGGGCACCCCACAAGGCTCTGTGCTCTCACCGACTCTCTTTAAAAAGCCTCTGACTCGCCAAAAAAAAAAGTTATTTTTTTTTCATGCTAGGCGTTGAAATGGCATGTCAGGACATCACAAAAAAAAAAATTGTTTCATTATAGATCGAGGTGCGTAGTTTTTTTGTTTTTTTTTATAAAAATAGAAATACGAGGCCCAATTCAAAGTTCCCGTCAGTGCACTGTGACGTAACAGTGTACCGCAAGGTGTCGGGGGGGTCAGAAGGGAAGCATCGCCGGAAGTCACGTGAGTTGTATCCCTCCTCGTGCTTACCGCGAGCGCGTGTAATATTTTTTTTAATATTTTTGTTATTGTCCGCACCTCCACGAGCGATCCAAGCAGACAAGGTTTCTTTTATTTGCTTTTCATCGCTTAATGTTGCTGTAAAGGTAGAAGAAGAGGAGTCAGTGAACTGACGTGATCAACTGAAGTGCGTAGAAGGTGCTGTGTGAGGGACTGTCCCGGTATTTCAGCAACTGAAGAAGAGATCACACTGCATGTATTTCCGAGAGACGGCAGCCATCTTCAGCCTGGAGTGTATACGATGATTCGACGACCTCGGTGTCCGAAGCTTCAGCAATGCAATTGGACGTGTCGTACGCAAGCAATCCTAATTTCTGCGCGCGTTCTAAAATTTTTTTTCAAAACTTGATAGCTTTTTTGTTCCCAGTATAGCTCTGTATCATCAAACTGACGGCACGCACTCGTACACTGGCTTGCACTCGCAACGCTTTCATCATTGATCTCCATCACGTCGATCCACTGACTCTTCGTCCTCAACTTTTACAGCACGCAAGCTAACCAACGGTGCAGCGATAAAGAGCTAGTGGAACTGAAACTTCATTTTCTAAAATCGATCGTACAAAGAGCAGAAAATAAAAAAAAGTCGTAGGCACGGTCGCGGAGAGCACGAGGAGTGAAACTCACGTGACTTCCTGCGAACCCACTTTTAGTGACGTATGTCGATGCCTCCCTTCTGACCGCTCCGACACCTTGCGCTACATTGTTACATCACAGTGCACTGGCGGGAACTTTGAATTGAGCCTCCTATTTCTATTTTCATAAAAAAAAACTACGCACCTCTATAGTGAAACAATTTTTTTGTAATGTCCTGACATGCCATTTCAACGCCTAGCATGAAAAAAAAAATTTTTTTGGCGTGTCAGAGGTTCTTTAATCTAGCGACGTGCAAGCTCCCGGCACAGCTAGAAGGCATTCCACACATCAAACATTCCCTGTACGCGGATGACCTGACCATATGGACGACCTCGGGCTCGGACGGGCACAAGCAGGCCTCGCAGCAGGAAGCCATCGACTCAGTACAGCAATACCTCAAGGCAGGCAACCTCAAGTATGCCCCCGAAAAATCTCAACTCCTCCTCGTACGCTCATGCAAGCGGGGACGAAAATCCAATCCTCAAACGTCGACGGCGGACATTCAACTTGACTTCGAGAATGGAGAACCCGTCCCCGTGGTGGAGCGCACCCGCATACTGGGTCTTCACCTCCAGCACGACGGAGGAGCGACCCACACTATGCACCTTCTCGAACAATCTACAACCCAGATCATGCGTATGATGGGAAGGATCACAAATCGTAGGCATTTTTTTCTTTTCAGGGGCCCTTTAAGGGAGCAGACCTCATCCGCATGACCCAAGCCCTCATCGTCAGCCGAATCACATATGCAGCACCATACCTGAACCTGATGAAGAGGGACGAGGAGAGACTGGACGTCATCATCCGTAAGGCGTTCAAGATCGCTCTCGGACTCCCCCGTTACGCATCCACCGATGAGTTACTCAACACGGAACTATATACAACGCATACCGCGAATTGGCCGAAGCTGAACTTCGAAACCAAGTGGAGAGACTCGCGACCACATCAACAGGTCTGCACGTACTACACTCTCTCGCATACACAGTGCCGGAATCGATGAGGGAGACCGTACAGCTGCCCGTAGAAATCCACGAGCTAATACAGACAACCCCGATTCCACGTAACATGTACCCCACGCTCCACGCGTGACGACGTGCGGCCAGAGCGAAAGCACTTAAACGCGTTTACGGTATGCATAGAGAGGACGTCAGATACACAGCGGCAGCAATGTACCCGGACCGGTCGATGGCAGCCGTCAGCGTCACTGGGCAAGACAAGAAGGCTCTTACCACAGCAACGGTGCGCGCAAGGACCCCAGCAGTCGCCGAAGGGATGGCCATAGCCCTTGCAATAGTTGCGAACGGCCCCCAGCACATCACCATTCTTACCGACTCCCAAACGGCCATTCGACGTTTCAGAGCTGGTCGCATCTTACCCCAAGCCTTTCACGCTCTCCAAACGAAAGGCCCCGCCCTCCCCAAGGTGGCTCTGGTCTGGACCCCAGGTCACGAATTCGTCGAAGGAAATCGGCACGCACACGCCGTCGCCCGAGCTTGCACCATCCGGGCACCCGACGCGGACACGGACCAATCCACCGAAGATTCCTCGCCTCTCGCAATTCCCTTCCCCGAAGTCCTGGCGCGTTTCAACGCGGCCAACGTTTCAAATATCCACCACCTCATCACTCACTAACCCGCGAGCAGGCCATGACCTGGCGTCAGTTCCAGACGACAGTTCAAACATTTGGCACTCCTGCATAAATTTTACCCAAACAAATATCCTGACACTTGCCCACACTGCATGCGGCAAGTACCCATCCCTCTATCACGTCACTTGGTCGCGTCTCTCCAACCCCTCGCTCCCCCTTTCCTCTTCCCCTTTCTACGAGACCTGGGAACCTGCGCTGCTCAGCCGGCCCCTCCCCTGACAGCCAGCAAATGCTGGTGCAGAGGACGAAGGCTGCGGCAGAGAGAACTGGAGCCCTGGACTAAGGGCCCCACCTAGACCAAAATTCTCTGCAATCAATAAAAGTTTACTCCTCCTCCCCCTCCTCTGGTTTCTCCTCCTGATCTTATCTGCGCCTAAAAGTTTCAATATATGAACAGTCAAATAACATATTATATATATATATGTACCAACTCATCGTGTTGCTGGCGTCATGTCAAGAAGCTGGTGCATGTGCAGAGGTTTCGCTGCTCGAACAACGCATTTCAAAGCATGTCCTCTGCCCACATGTTCCGTTTACAAACCCGACATTCCGAGTTTCGTCCGGTCTGTAGTGACGCAGCCAGTCCTCGTCGAATTTTGTTCGTTCTTGTCGCTCTTCCGGCAGAGTATCACGAATTAAAGAGACTGTGCTAGGGATTCTTCCCGATACCTGTCGGAAGATGCCGCCATACCTGACACTAAGAAAATTTACCAAATTCCTTGTGCCGAATGCGACGCCTCTTATGGGGGGGAAACGAAGAACTTTCCCGAACGTCTGCGTAGACATAAGTATGATGTTAAGAAGAATGACATCCAAGGCAGCGCGCTGGCGGAACATGCTCAGAAGACCGGGCACGCCATTGGCTTTGACAGCAGCTCCATCCTCGACACAGAAAGAAACTGGAGAAAGCGGCTCTTAATATAATCTTGGCACATACAAAATACAAGCAACAACCTGAACCGATCCACCGGAACGCTTCCAAGCAGCTATATACACGGGCTAAAATGCGCCACACACAGAAACAGAAGAAGAAAACAAAGCTAAGAGAGAAGAGAAGAAAACGACGACAGGTTGTTACCCTTGGGCCCATATACAGTCACCCGTGAACAAGGAGCCGAGCTGGCTTCGAAACGTCGGGCACATTGAAGAAATTGGTTAGAGTCTACGTTGTACTTTTTCTTATTACTTACCTAACCAGGCGGAGTTCCGCCGAAATGTTTACATTTACCTGACACTGGACGGCCATATGGAAGGCACCTTTCTTGAAAGGAAGCATCTTGGGCCCCGAGTTCCGAGTCCCCTCCGGAAACACAAAGAGGCTGAGCTGCGCAGCGGACGAAGAATTGTCAGCCAGACTGAACAAAAACGGACGAAGGTGACGACATTCAGTGACTCTAGTGTCTCTAGTGACGACGTTCCTTGTTTATGATGTCTGATGCTCTCTGCATGCACGCGTGTCGCCCGATAAAAGCAGACACATCGTGAATCAGGTGTGACGTGTTACCGGGTAAGAAATAACAAACTGCGTAGTGACGCTGTTTTTTTGTTTGTTTTTTTTGCATTATTATTAATTTTTTTATATTTAAGAAATAATTAAAAAAGAGCGCCCAGTACTACAAAGGTAACATTTCGAGTGTACATGCGCGGACCTGTGTCCTTTCTAAACAGAAGCAAAGCATTTAATCTGCTATAAGGATAAGGGGTATTCCCTGGGCTCCATATTTGTGGGTGCTGTCTAGAGCGCATGCTCAGAACGAGCCCCCATTATTAGGCTGCTCAGACCGGCCATTTTGACGGTGTGGAATGCACGTTGCAAAAGAACCCTGGAAGCTAGCCATCAGCACGCGCTCAGCAGTCGCGCACACAGCTTTGGCCGCCAGTGAATACTTCCTATAGGGAGTATTCACTGGCGGCCATAGTCGTGTGCGCGAATGCTGAGCGCGTGCTGATGGCGAGCTTCCACAGTTCTTTTGCAACGTGCATTTCGCACCATTAAGAGTGCCGGTCTTAGCAGCCTATTGATGTGAGCTCGTTCTGAGCATGCGCTCTAAACAGCACCCACAAATATGGCGTCCAGTGAATACACCCTATTAGCCCCGTGCGCGACCGAAAGCGTCGCTGTGGTCGGCCTTCCACGATTGGCCCAAAAGCTGACTATGACGTCGGAAAGGGTATACCATCGACGGAAATAAGAGGAATGAAAGAACTTTAATTTCGACGATGTTGGCAGTGTTGCTTTGAGAGCGCAATGATTTCAGGCTTCCACCATGCTATTTACAAACACCATCGAACTTGTTGTTCGCAAGGTAATGACGTCACAAGGGGGAACCATAGGAGGGCGCCACCGAAACATCTCGCCGCTAATAACAATGAAGCACGAATTAAAACGCGAGTAATGTCCACTCTTTTTTTTTTTAACTTTGGCAAACGGAGATTTGAAGGGCATGCGGCTCAGAGCTGGTGTGCTGACCTCAAACTTGAAAGAAAAACAATGCAGACATTAGGAAAAGATATTTGGCAATGGTTTAGATATGTACTATTTGCATTTATCGATAAATATATCCCCCCTAATATGTTATCAGGCAGGCGTAAAAATGATGAACCGTGGATGAACAAGAATTTGCGATGTATCCTGATTAAAGAGCGGTGTTTATTTTTGAAGTATTGATTAATTGATTGAACATGTTTTATTAATAAAAAAAAGTAAAGCGCGTACGACTCTCTCTAGTCAATTGTCCACTGACATCGGACAGAGAAGGGGGTGGGGGAATGGGGTGTGGATAGGTAGGGGGGGTACCAGAAATGTCTCTATCCAGATGGAGTCCTGGATGTTTGCTGTCGAGACAAAGTCAAGAAGCGAGTCTAATATGGCTTTGCGGTGCTGCGGTGTAAGAAAGCAGGTAACAAAAAATGAACTCAAGTGCCTTGTTCGTGCTTAAAAAAAAAAAAAAAGTTAAAGAAGCGACACTGGTTGTTTTTTGTTTTTTTCAACTCTAGGTTTTATGTTTGTTAACAACAGAAAAGAATTATAGAAACTTGTTGAATAATCGAGCAATAATGGGTACGTAGGAATGCCAGACATTCTTAATAGCAATGCACTGATGTCGGATGACTTGGAAAATGCAATTTGCTTCGACGACGACTTTCAATTCATTTTCTCTAATACAGCTGAAAACATTACACCAAAATCCTCAGAGACTATACCTAATAATACGCCAGAATTTTTTATTGAGGATAATGGGGTATATAAACTTCTTTTTTATTTGAAATCTCATTCAGCAACAGGACCGGACGGAATTTTAAACTATGTGTTCAAAAAGTATGCCTCAGCGTTATGAGCCTTCCCAGTCATTTCATTTAACAAATCTCTGTTCTCAAACAGGCTTCCACCTGAGTGGAAGACAGCTAATGCTGTACCCATTCATACGGGAGGACTTAAACGCAACGTTTCTAACTACAGGATATATACTAATATTGTCGATCATCTTGAGTTAAAGAACTTGTTTACTCCATGGATACCAGTATGGATTCTGTTCTGGTCTCTCATGCAGCAGACAACTTATAAAATTTGCAACTGACTTTAGATTTTCCGGAAGCAGTCGATCAAGTAGCCCACTCACTTCTTATGCATAAACTGTCATTTCTGGGCTTGCCTGACCATCTCATAAAATGGATAAAATATTACTTATCGATTCGTACCCAATTACAGATCGCGTAAAATCCCCGTGTGCGGCTGTGACGTCAGACGTCCCTAAGGGTCCGTACTTGGGCCCCTTCTCTTTTGGTTTATAATAATGATTTGAACTGAAAATTTAACATCCAGCAAGTTAACAGCGATAATGATCATTTTCTACTTCAAATTGGCTTTGATAGAAGTGTCACGGTTTAATAGATGGAAAATGCCCATAAATATTAACAAATGCTATTATATTCGATTTACCAAAAAGCGTAACCCTTTCTTGTCTACGTGTAAACTAAATAGCGTTGTCTTAATAGAGGTTACGGAAGCCAAGTATCTGGGGGTTTATTTTAACAGCACTCTTTCTTGGACAAAGCAAATGGATGCAATAACAATCAAAGCGAACTGTGGTCTAAATCTTATAAAACGTAGTTTTAAAATGGCTCCAGAAAATATCAAGGAATTGTTATATATAACTAATGTTAGGCCAGTCTAGGAGTATGCGTGTCCAACGAGGGATCCCTACCTAGCTATTTTTTAAATTTATCTTCCAAAGTTGAACAAGTACAAAAAAGATCAGCACGGTTTGTTACAAATAATTATAACTCCAGATCAAGTATGACCAATTTAAAAAAGTCGGCTGGGTGGAAAGCTGCTGGCTACGCGGAGGAAATATCTAAGAATAAATCGTTTTAGAAATATTTTCCTAAACCTTACACGCATTAACAAGGGCAAATATCTTCATACTCCCAATTACATTTCAACAATGGTGGATCATTCATTGAAAATAAAAGTGTTTAGACGCAGAACGGGATTATTCAAACACTCATTTTTTTCGAGATCGATCCATTACTGGAATTGTCTACTGGAGTATGTTGTCAGGAAAAATTTCGGTTCAACGCTGTCTACCTCTTTATTTAATTTTCCTCAAAATATTTTTTCTCGATATTTTTGTGTGTATTTATGAAGTATTTGTGATTCGAAAAACCGTTTTTCTTCTCAATATTCCTGTTTGCATTCTATACTCTTGTGAAATATTTATGCTTTGGTACACTGCTTTTTTTTATCCGTGAAAAAATATTTCATTGTATTATCAAACCCTCTACAATAATGCGTTTTGGGCGATCGAAATACTAAATAAATAAATAACACTTAAGCGACAAAAATTAGAGCTGCCAGGTTGGGCTATAAATAGCCTATTTGGGCTACTTATTTTTGTAATTGGCAGGAAAATCTGGTGGTTGGCTATTTGATTATTTGGCTCTTTTGGGGTTATTTCACACACAAGACTCAAGCAATTTCGAAGCACTTCTTTTCTAAGCTTTGAACATGGTAGTTTTGAGTCAGGTAAAAAACAGATTAATTCAAGAGAGTGGGAAAGGAAGCTATCCAAATTATGGGCGTGAAAATAGAATAGATGGGTCCTCAATGGTGTTGGTTGCACATACGCAATTATTTTTATCCGAAGAGCTACCGTCTGGATCTCTGTTGGCAAGTCTCAATGCCGCAATGGTGTACCCAAGGTGGTTAGACGTACCCGTGTTTCGCCATTGGTTCTGGAAACTAGTAATGTTTGTTCTTCTTTTTGTATTATTTCTGTAAATGCAGCTATTATGTTATAGCCTAGGTGGTGCAGAAAAACACCCGATGTCAAAAGCCCCGTGTCAAATGTCCCGCGACAAACACCCCGGCCTTTTTGCCCCACTTTCAAAAGCCCCAGTTTCAGAAACCCATGACGCAAACCGCCCGTGTCAGGTGGCCGAGCTTGTGGAACATAATTATGCCGTACCCGGGACTCAAGCAAGGAATAACTGGATAAGGCTTCCGTTCTTCAGGCGAGCGCTATACACAACCACGTCTTGTGACGTTAGAAGTGCAGAACGAACAGAAGTCAGTGGCAAACCATTTAAAGTTGCTGTTTTTATGAACAAGCAGTGAACCGAAGGTTTCGTAGATTCTGAAGCACGCCGCGGTTTCGTTCAGTTCCGAAGTTCTGTCAAGAGTGGGCCAGGCAGCAACTGCCCAACCAAGATGCCTAAGTTTTTTGTGATATCGTTACAGCTCCTGATAATGTTCCTGGCACCAACGTGGTCCTTTATGGCGGTGAACGGCAACACGATCATCGGCGGCAACGTTACATCGGCGACGACTACATTTGTTTTCGAGATTACAAGCTCGTCATCGCTTCAGTGCTCCACGTGGAACGGACTAAATCACATGATCCCGACGGCGCTGATTGAAATCAGTCTTTCGCCTTCAACCACCACCATGGATTCAGCGCCACTTGAAAGAAAAGCGGCTGCATCTTTCGACTCTACCAGTGGGCCAGGCAGCAACTGCCCAACCAAGATGCCTAAGTTTTTTGTGATATCGTTACAGGTTAGTGATTTCAAATACCTTGCTATCAAAAGCAACAATTTGTGCTTATTCTTGCTGCCTGGCCCCAAGGCTTGTTTTGCGTTGTACATAGAATGTCTCAGCATTTTCAGTGTTTCTGTTTCTACGTATGTTGAAAGTGTTAGTTACAGTCTGCTTTTGCTCCTTGGCGGGGACATTGAATCTAACCCCGGGCCCATGACCAAACCCTAAGAAGAACAACTTAATAAAGTGCTTGAAATCGTTCAGACGCTACAGACAGGTCAGAACAATATCCTCCAGGAAGTTCGAGATTTAAAACTAAAGCAGAGTACGACCGAAGAATCAGTGAATGCCCTCATAACACGCGTTAATCGGGTGGAAAACGAACTTTCGAAGTTAAAAGAGTTCCGGCGTTACAATAAGTACGACTTCCGATCCGCAACTAACATCCGCCGTTAACGAGATATCTCAGCTCAGGGCGCGCTGCGATGACGCAGAGAGCAGAGCCCGTAGGTCAAATCTTATCTTTTTTGGTATTCCTGATACGGACAAAGAAACATGGGCACAATCTGAAAAGGCTGTTATTGATGTGTGTCTCGAAAGATTAGGGTTGGAACTTGCATCCATCGAAAGAGCGCACCGTTTAGGAAGGTTTAGTCAGCAAAAACATCGGCCAATCATAGTAAAATTGTTCTCCTACAAAGATAAGGAGATGGTACTTTCTAACGCGCACAAATTCAAGGGAACACACCTTTCTGTGAGTGAAGACTTTACACCATCCGTGCGTCTTGCTCGAAGAAAACTACTCCAATTTGCAAAGCCTCAAGGCCTATCTTTCAAACTGCGTTTCGATAAGCTAGTTATGGGAAATAAATGCTACATATATACATCTAGCACAGACTCTGTGAACGAGTTAAACTTCCGTGAACCTTATCAAACCTCAGCTGAACAGGGAGCTGGAATTTCAAACCAAGCATTACCTCTTCCAATTGTTAGTTCATCTGGTAGTAACCCCGGAATTTCCACTCCTGCATCAGTTTTGCCATAACAATCAGAGAGGAGTTACAGAGCCAATAATGATATCTGTGTGAATAATATTTCTGTTATTTTTACTAACATTAGAAGCGTTATGCATAAACGCCAGGATTTATCGTCAATTGTCGACTCATCTAACGCGGACATTATTGTTCTCACCGAGACCTGGTTGTCAAGTAAAATACGCAATAGTGAAATATTAAGCTGTCAGAAACGTTTTAATATGTACCGTCATGACAGGGACGAAAGAAACGGTGGCGGTGTGTTAATCGCGGTAGCTGATAACATACAAACATTTCATATCAACATCGCTTCTGAACTTGAGATAGTATGGGTGGGTCTAAATATAAGAAACAAAAAATATATTTTCGGGGTGTGTTGTCGTCCCCCAAATGCAAGTGCCACTTTTGTCCCAAAGATTCATGATGCGATCAGTGCAGTCATAGCTCGTTTTCCAAGTGCACCCTTGATACTGTTTGGTGATTTTAACTATCCTTCCATAGAGTGGTCAGATGTGCGTACTTCGCTTAATCACTTTTCCTCAGAGTGCAATGCGTTTGTAAACATGTGTCTAGATTTTAATTTTTCACAGATTGTTGCGCAACCTACACGTGTTACAGCAACAACCGCATCTTTGTTAGACCTCATTTTAACAACATCACCCGATCTTATCTCCTCACTAAGTCATATGCCCGGTCTTAGCGACCATTCTTTATTGCATTTCATGTTAGATATCCCTAAATGTTCCAACCCAAAGCAAATTAAGAAAATATATAATTATGCGAGGGCGGATTTTGAATCTATAAATAACGAATTATGCCTCTTTCTAGATAAATATACACATGGCTTTGAGGAGCGCTCTGTTGAAAATAACTGGAATCTATTCAAAAGAAAGGTTGCGTCACTTATGAGTGCTCATGTGCCCCTTCGAAGCATATCTCTATCACCCCAGTCACCATGGTATAGTACGACTTTAAAGAGGTTGTCAAATAAAAAGAAAAGGCTATTTCGTTCTGCTAAAATGTCGAACGATGATCAACGCTGGGCAGTATATCATCTTGCTGCCGCGGAGTACGAAAAAGCAGTGGAGGAGGCGAAAGCCACTTTTTTCAACAGTACACTACCATTCATGCTAATTAATAATCCCAGGCAATTTTGGAAAGTTATTAGCCCCAGTCACAGTCAGGACGTAACGCTCAGGGATAATGACGGAGTTGAAGTTCAAGGTGATTTGTGCCCTTTTGTATTGAATGATGAGTTTGCTAAATCCTTTTCACTACCTATTACCTCTGACCGTCCATTTCTCCCAGTTTGTGAGTATCTGAAAATGAATCCAGTCATTGTTGATTGCGAGGGTATTGCGAATATTATTGAAACCCTAAAAATATCAACTTCAGCAGGCATCGATAATATTAATACTAAGTTTTTTAAAAATACTAAGATGTATTCAAGCATCATCTTATCAAAACTGTTTACCCAATCACTTGAACAACAGATATTACCTAGAGACTGGAAAGTGGGGAGGGTGATTCCTCTCCACAAAGGCGGTGATAAACATAATCCTTTGAATTTCCGTCCTATCTCCTTAACAAGCACCCCATGCAAAATACTTGAGCACGTAATATATTCCAATCTTATTAACTTTCTAGAATTGAACTCTTTTTTTCACCCAGCACAGCATGGTTTTCGAAAATTCTATTCATGTGAAACACAACTCCTAACTTTTACCCATGACCTTCACGTCGTTCTCGACCGGGGTTCCAGGACAGATTGCATATTCCTTGACTTCTCCAAAGCCTTCGATAAAGTACCCCATGTACTCCTTCTCCATAAACTTCGTAACTTAAACATAGATAACAACATACTCAATTGGATAGAATCGTTTTTAACAAATCGTTTTCATTTTTTTTGCGCCAACGAAACTAACTCATCATTATCAAGTGTTAACTCTGGTGTTCCTCAAGGTTCTGTGCTCGGTCCACTACTATTTCTTATTTATATTAACGATCTTCCTATGCATGTTTCCTCTTCCATCAGCTTGTACGCTGACGACTGTGTCATTTATAAGGAAATTATTAACGACTCTGACATTTCTGTTCTTCAAACTGATATAAACAACGTCACACAATGGTGCTCAGAATGGCATATGGAACTCAACACATCTAAATGTAGATCTATGAGAGTGTCCAGGCATAATAACACTTGTCCATCCTACAACATCATTAACTCCCCCCTACTTTCTGTTACTTCCTATAAATATCTTGGTGTGCATCTAACCTATGACCTTTCCTGGAATTTACATGTCGAATATGTCACTAACAGCGCTAATCGCTTACTAGGTTACCTCAAAAGAAACCTTTCGCTTACTCCTGTTTCATTAAAGCTTCTAATCTATAAGACTTTAGTTCGTACTAAACTGGAATATGCAGCCTCTATCTGGGACCCCGGTATCACCCTTTCATCCGCTGTTGAGTCCATACAAAATCGTTCCGCTCGTTTCATTCTCTCGAACTATCATCGCACATCCAGCGTCACATCTATGAAAGCATCCCTTTCCTTGCCTAACCTCTCTCTTCGCAGGAAAATATCCCGGCTTTGTCTTTTTCAGAAGATTTTTCACTCTAATCCAACACTTCGTCAAACATTATTCTTAGAACCATCTTACATTTCGCTATGAACTAATCACCATCTAAAAGTGGGCGTCCCCCAGTGTAACACCTCATCTTTCAATGCCTCCTTTCTCCCTCAGACCTCAATAGATTGGAATCGCCTTCCTGCACCCATAGTCTCGATAACTGATGCTACTGATTTTAAAATTGCCATTACTAAGTTTTTTGATGTTCAATAACTTTTGTTTTATGTCTTGCCTTATGTATCGTTATACTCATATGTTTCCGTTCAAAAAAAGCCCCACTCCTCTCTGTAATGCCTTCGGGCCCTGAGAGAACAATAAATGAAATGAAATGAAAACTGTTAACCCGTAGCTCATTGAGTCATATTTATTACGTCCACAGCACCAAACGCTAGTTCCCTTCTTACGTCGTTCCGAAAATATTTGTATCCATCTTGGTAGATACGTCTGAGTATACGTCTATGAGAGCTGAGTGCATCGCTGGATATGCAGATTTATGCAACTGGCCACTTGTACGTCATTCTAAGTTTTCCTGCGGTTCAAGTTACCCTTATTTTGTTGTTTTACTTAAAAGACCCTTTGTAGTCCATCAACGGATTAGGTTAAGACAGAACAATGCTGGTTGAAGCGCGAAGAGCGTGGGACGGGGGCAGTGGAAGACCGTAGACGGGCTTTTGGCAGGGGGGCCGGGGAGGAGGGGGGGGGGGGGGGGGGGGATGCGGGACGGTGTAATTGGAGGGGTTGTCGAAACAGAGAGCTAATAAGGAGTTTCCGTAGATTGTTGCCGCTGTCTCGCAACGCTCTTCACAACTCACTACGATACCCGGAACTCTACAGTCAAGACCATTGGCACGCATTCGCAGTAGTGGCAACTCGTTGCGGAGAGCTCAGCGGAGGGGAAAACGCTGCCTACGAAAACTTCCTAATGACGCGGGGCTCTTGAGACAGGGGTTCCGCACGCGGGGGCAATCGTCATTAGCGTTCCAAATAGTGTTTTAAAATATCTCGTACGAAGTTTCAAGTGCTGGCGTATTTGAGCCATTTTTATAACCCGACTTTTGGCTATTTTTAGCTGTATCTTACAAAAAAAAAAAAAAAAAAAGACATGGCGGGTAAATTTGAGAGAGAACCTGGCAATCCTAGCGAGTGACATGCACATTCTTACGTATTTTTTCGCCACGGATTGTTTACGAGGTTGGGTGAAACCAGTAGTGCGCGTGCGTACTATGGTCATTGCGTGGGCCATTGTGATAAGGCTTCTTGCTTCGTGATTCATTCATCTGAGTTCATATCAACTGATGCGGAGCGATAAGAATGTGCTTTGAGTGCGTACCTTTCCGTCTCGGACCTTGTCGAGCTTCCTGTTGAGCGCGGCCCTTCCCTCGCTGGTGTTCTTCCTATCGACGAATACGCTGCCGGCGAGCCAGCAGACCACGCCCACGGGCCCCGAGTAGATGAGCTCCTTCTTCATCACGGGCACGCACGGGTGGAAGTGGTGCCAGTGGGACACGATGCCTGCGGCCGGCCAACGCGTGTAGGGAACGGCCCACCTTACCGAAGAATACGGTGCTCCGTAATCGCTCACGAGTCACTGACAGAAATGCGCGGATAGGTTTTTTACCTGTTTTATATTTCGCAAAATATGGCCACTTTGAGCACAAAATGAGTTGCGATGGCTCGGTTTCGGGAGAAAAGCGACCGTAAGGCTCGACCGTTTCGCTGGACCGACACACATATGTCATCAGCAAATCAGCAAACTGGCCCCTTAGGTGCATGCGCCATCTAATGGGGTCATGAAATGATTTTTCAACTTTTTCCTTCTTAGCTTTCCTCCTCAACTCAGAAATTTGCGTATTGTTCAAACAGTTCAAGAAAACGGAAAGGAGGAACTTCCCTCTCGCTCGGAACCTCGTTTGTGTGCCCGGACACCGCCATTCTGCCCCTAGACGATTAGCTCGCCTCTCAAAATTCGGACAAAATTTGCTTTCCGCACGCCGTTCCCCCCTAAGCTGACAGCGCTGTGGAAGCTACGTGCTCGTAGCCCGCCACTCTTTTTCTACGTGATCACGCTCCCTCGCGCATACCCACGCGCAGAGAATGAGGTCAGCTGATGAAAGGGAGGCGGCTGATTGGTCCGTCAAGCGCATAGCTTCCACCGAACCGTCAGCTTAGGGGTGAATGGACTAATTGATGTACGGTGCCGTGTGACAAGCGTTTGGGCCGGGTGACGCGCTTTGGGTACCGCGGATGTATCACAGTGAAAAGGCAGAGAGCCTTCGAAAGGATGGAGGTACCAAATAGTCCGCTACGTTTTCGAATTTTCGCTCCCAAAATCAGGCTTTTGACTTTCTACCTTCTTTCTTTTGGCCCACAATACGCTATTAGTAAAATCCCAATCAAAATTCATATATCCCAGCCCAAAATTCGTTTCATGGGCCCTTTAAAGGGGCCCTGCAATTATTTTTAAGCGTTTACCTTTTTTGCGGTTTCCACATATCTTGGTGTTCGGGAAAGAAAGCGGGCACGGAGACAGTAACTAAATATCAGTGCGTCATATTTTAACCGGACAACGCGGCAACGTCCTCCACCTACGGGGGCGACCCGCGGTGTCGAAAGCGCGCAAAATGTGAAGGCTATGGTCCTGGGCTTACTACTGGTCAGAGCCGCTAAAAGCTTCTTTTTAGTCGAAATACAAAATATAAGTGGCGCGAACCGTTTCATTTATTTATGAAAGTAGGTTTTGTTCTACTCAGAACAAAAGTAGTTTTTTTTTTCTACTCAGAACAAGTCTTTGTTCTACTCAGATCAGAAAAAAAATGCAGTTTATAAAGTACGGAAACAAGAAACGGACCCGTCGACATACCCGGCACCAAGCGGAGGAAAAGGCGGCGCATACTAGAAAGGTGTAGTGGGATCAGGCACCGACGAGGCAGCGAGCGTAGAAAGGTCTCGGATGTACGCGGCGGCGCTGCGGCCGTATGCGGACTTGAAATTCCGACCGGTTCCGAGCGTTCCGAAGGCCTTCGGCGAGAAGGTTTGGCTTGCGGTTTGGCCGTTTGGCACTATGGCAGCGCAAAGTGGCTCCTGATCTGAACTGGTCGTTTGTGGCCAATGAAGTGTCATGCTGAATTCGTCTTCAATCGCGCAGCAAATGCAATGCGAGCCACCCTGGCTGCCCGCTTCATACAGCCTATCCGGAACATGCTTTAAGCGCGAAACACATGTACGACGAAACCGTCCGATCCGACGTCCGACCGCGGCGCAATACGACGGTCGGAGGCGAGGGTTTTCAGCGCTCTCCGATGCTACGAAAACCCTCTCACCCCAAGGTCATTCCGGCAGTCCGCACGTCAGATCGGAAGGTTTCGTCGTACATGTGTTTCGCGCTTTAGTGGCGCTCTCTCGAGTCGTCAACACGGAGTGCGGCAGCCGTAAGCGCTCGCAGAGCTCACTACCCCTCCTCTAGTTCACGGCCACTCAAGCGACCAAGGACGTCATGAAGAAGGTTATTTTGGGCTTGTTTTTCTAATTTTAAATGGCCTATAAGTTTCAAAATAAAACGAAATTCGAGAAAAGAAAAGTTTAATTAAGTTACTACGTTCAGTGCGCTCAGGTTCGGTGCAAATTAAAAACCAGTAAAAAGTCCTTGCAGGGCCCCTTTAAGTTCTCTACTAGATTTCGCGAAAACGTCGTGACGACACGTGACACGTCATGTGACACTGCGGAATCACGTGATACCCTGACGTCACGCCACGTCATGATGTCGTGAGACTGTGATGGTTTTATGCGTATTTTCAAGAAAAACCTCATCATGTGCCCTTGAGCGACCTCCGTACTGTTCCTGCGAGAGGAGGAGTGCGAAGGCGCTTTATAAATGCTATGCATTTAGTTTCTGGAAAGTCCTTTGTAAATGCCTAAGAGAGAGCCAATTTTTCTTTTGGCATGAGCCTCGTTGCAAACGGAAAGCAAGAAAAAGATAAGCAGAATCGCGCCCTGTGGAACGGGTCTTTGCAAATTCCAGCGATTGTGTTCCAGACATAAAAAGTAGACTAATCGATTAATTAATAATAAAAAAGTCGCAGATTAAAACTTTTAATCGGTACACAACTCTTATATTTGTAAACTTGAAGATGGTAATACTGTCTCACCCATGATGTCCAATGCATTTTGATGGTTTGCAACCAGGATGCAACGCTTGTTTTTGCTTATTCGTTCTGCGTTGAGCATTTCGAACTCGACGCCGAAAAGGTACCCCTTGCCGCGAAGAATGTTCGCACAGTACCTGCGTCATGAAAGTTCCAGGATTCATATCACTGTGTAAGTTGGCATTTAAGCAGTCATACGCCACTTTTTCAAGAGCATGCACATATTTTCATGTTCAAAGTATAAATTGTATTTGGACAACAGTATCTCTGAGGTTTCGTTCCGTATGCAGGGCTTGCATATAAACAATGGCGTAGACAGGATTTTTTGTTTTAGAAAAGGGGGGGGGGGGGGGGGGGGAATCAAAAAGCGTGAGCTTATTCTATGGTTGGCTGCATTTCTGGGGGAGGGGGACCGATTTCATGTAAACCTTCAGATAACTGGCAACAGTGACTTTAAACACCGAAACAGTGATTAGCCATCAACATCAAAGGAATGAAAAACGTAATATACCTCAAATGAACAAACCCGAAAAACACAACGTCAAGCAATCATACCAGCACAGGCATCAAAACAAAATAACCTTCTTCTTAAGGTATATTTACTGTGAAAATTTACCCCAAATGAAAATAAATATTCCACTGTAGACCCATAGGTCTAACCGTACAATGATCCAATCTCTTAATATCCGCTACATCTTGCTTTTTTTTTTTTAATTATCTTTAAGTAGGAGATGCGACTGAAGTGTCCTTACATGGAAGCGTAGTGTCTTTAGTGGCCCTATTCGCCCTTCTCTGTTTTGCAATAGGGAGGCTCAAGTGAGGGTGGGTGCAACTGCTAGATCGGCGATCACGGGACATGGACGCCATTTAATTGCTAAATTTTGCTGGGAGTCTATGGGGCAAAGGGTCGTTTTCTTTCCTAACTCGGGTCGTAAAAGCCCATTAAGGTGCTTGAATAATTTACACAAGGTATAAATGATTACTTTTCCATAGCCACCAGTTTTGTTGCGATAGGTTAAGTATTTTTTTAACGCGAAAAATGGTAAATTCCGCCATCTTGGACGTTGCTGCTTGTCTGGCAACCTTGCTTTCTCCGCTCGGCGTTTGCAATTCTCGGAGCGAGAAGGAAGCGAGAGAGGCTGTGCCAAGGCGTTCGTTGCTTGCAATGGGAGGCGAGAGGAGGAAAGGCGCATGGAGCAACAGAGTTGCAACAGAGCGGGCGCCTGCTCTCGTGCAGGCAACACTGGCGCATATCCTTTCTCGAATCCTCTCCCTCATGCGCCGCCATTAAATTGCAAACGCTCTCCATGTTTTGAGTTGCGCCCACCCTCACTAGAGCCTCCCTATTTTTCAACAAACTCAGTGGCGCCGTCTGTTGGGTAGGCCCGGCACACTTCCGGTTCACGTATATTTAAAATTTTACAGAGTCATCAATTAAGTCTGACAGTGCGATAAGTGGCCATTTCCTAGATAGCGTGTATATTTGATTTCACAAATACCGCGAAACACGCCGTCTAGTTCGGAACCGGAAGTGGCTGGGATCTATCTGCACACTGGCACCAACACGTTTCCACTCACGCGAGAAAGAGCGAATAGAGAGTTTTCACTGGCGGTTAAGCTGAGTTCGCAGTCACTCAGCATGTGCTGACGGCGAGCTTCAACAGTTCTTTTGCAACGTGCACTCCACACTTAAGATAGCCGGTCTTAGCACCCTATTAATGGGAGCTCGTTCTGAGCATGCGCTCTAAACAGCGCACTCACATAGGGTGTCCAGCGAATCCCTTCAAAAATTACGCCCTCTTACGGTCGACCTGAAAATACTGCAAAGTGGCGTGCTCAAAAAAACACCAGCCAGCTGGCAATTATACAACTGATTTAATACTCACTTCCAATAGAGTGCATACAATTGATAGACCTGCCACTTCTATGGTTTCCTTTCCGCTCGCCACAGTGCAGTGTTTTTAGATAGACGGTAAGTTAGCGTAATCTTCGCAGGGGTTTATAGGGGGTATTCACTGGACGCAGTGACGTAGTTGGGGGGAAGCTTGTGGGACTTCAACCTCCCCCCCCCCCCCCCTTTCCTGAAACCCCTCCGCGCGCTGCTCTGGCAAAGTTGTGGACGAAAGGAGGCCGTTTTCGTCGTTCAGCTCGCGGACCACCACAAATTCCTGCACTGCTGCGTAAAATTGAAGTTACAATTGAGAGCAAAGCGATTTTTCGACAGTAGAAACCTTCTTCTAGTCAGTGCGCAGGAATGAGACGGCGGAATCATAAAAATAATTACTGGAAACGATGTTTGTTTCTATGCTGCCTACGAGAACCAAGCAGCGATAGCAGACGACAGAGTCGAAACGACCTCCTCTCCTGAGCTTCTTGGCGCTGCCGCTACGCGGCGTCCATTTCGCTGGAGTCGCGAATATGCAAATGCATATTGACTGCCCCTCCCCCTTTTCGCACCCCAAGTTACGAACATCCCAGCCACCTCAACCCCCCCCCCCCCCCCCCCTCCCCTGCAAAAATGCCTGGCTACGCCACTGACTGGACGCTATATTTGAATGCGCTGTATAAAGGGCCCTGCAATCATATTTAAGCCTCCACCTTTTTTGTGGTTTCCACGTCTCTTGAGGTTAGGCCAAGCCAGCGAGCACGGAGAGAGTAACAAAATATCAGTGCGTCATATTTTAACCGGACGACGCGGAAACCTCCTCCCCCTAAGGGTGCGACCCGCGGTGCCGAAAGCGCGTAATGTGACGTCTTTGGTCCTGGGCTTACTGCTGGTCAGAGCCGCCAAAAGCTTCTTTTTAGTCGAAATACAAAATATAAGTGGCGCGAACCGTTTCAGTTTCTTGTAAAAGTAGTTTTTGTTCACTATTAAAAGAAACAAATGCAGCTTAGAAAGTACGGAAACAAGAAATGACCCTTCGACATACCCGCCACCTAGCGGTGGAAAAGGCGGCGCATACTAGAAAGGTGTAGTGGCATCATGTACCAAAGAGCGGCGAGCGTAGAAAGGTCCCGGATGTATGCGGCGGCGCTGCGGTCGTATACGGACTGGAGGATCCGACCGGTTCCGAGCGTTCCCAAGGTCTTCGGCGAGCAGCTTAGGCTTGCGGTTTGGCCTTTTAGCGGTATGGCAGCGCGAAGTGGCTCCCGTTCTGAACTGATCTTTACCCCGTGTTTGCTGTCGTTTGTGGCCAATGAAGTGTCATGTCGAATTAGTGTTTAATCGCGCAGCAAATGCAATGCAAGCCGCCCTGGCTGCCCGCTTCATACAGCCTAGCCAGAACATGCTTTAGTGGCGCCCTCTCGAGCCGTCGACACGGAGTGCGGCAGCCGTGAGCGCTCGCTGAGCTCACTACCCGTCCTCTAGTTCACGGCGACTCAAGCAACCAAGGACGTCATGAAGGAGGTTACTGTTTGCATGTTTTTGTAATTTTAATTTGCCTAGAACTGTTAAAATAAAGCGAAATTTGAGAAAAGTTTAATTAAGTTACTACGTTCAGTACGCGCATGTTCGGTGCAAATTAAAAACCACTAAAAAAGTCCTTGCAGGACCACTTTAAGGCGCATGCTCAGAACGAGCTCACAGGCAAGCTTGGTGGTGGGGAGTGCACGTTGAAAAAGATTCGTAAAGCTCACCGTGAGCACGCGTTAAGCGGTCCCGCACACAGCTATGACCGCCAGTGAATACTCCCCAAAGTGCACTGGATGTCAGGCGGGCATCCAAGGGACATCAGCGGTTTCATAAAAGTGCTCTAGCCTGTTCAACGTGCTCTCCGATGTATGTGTCATTGACCACTTACATTAGATTTCTGGGATCCATGGGTCTCAAGAGGCTGGGCAGAATGCTGAAGAAGGACACCACAGACAGGGTGATGTAGAAGAAGGATACCTTCACGCAATATCGAAAGATGCGGCAGTGGTTGAATAGACCGGATACGCTCAAGACCAGAAGGCACGGCGGAAGCATCCATGAAGTCGCGGAAGGCAAGTTCAGAAGCGGGTCCCCGAGGAGTAGACTAGAAGTTGTGTCTGCTCGCTTGACGTCCATCGTGCCTGTCTGGGGAGTTCGTCGTCATCTTCTTCGCATTCCATTTTTATCGCGCAGCCCCGGTTGCCTCGGATGGCATCGTTTCCCGCGATTCTAGGTTCGTATTACCGTGATAGCTCCAAAGGGCGGCGTGCATGCTCGCTCTGTCGGGCACACGTCTACACAGCGCGTGGAAGCCTGTGACGCGATGCTGCAGAGACTGCTGAGTAGACCCTTCTCAGAAGTTAATCAAGCAACAATGGCGGTCTTCATTTCTTGGTGACGGCCAATGTTAGGCTTAGGCTAGGTAGCGCAAGCTACCGCCCGATATACAAAGGGTGTAATCATGCATTAACATCGATCCATCCATATATTGGGCACAAGGCGTGTGACTCAACTCGTTGGTATGACTGGATACGAGTCCTAGGCGAACTCTGACGTAGCACTCGTTTTCGATACGAGTTGAGCCGAATTTACCCCGAACGCTGACGCAGCCCTCGTGTCCAAAGCAGGACAGAGAACGTGTCCAAACGATGGCAGATCATGGCCTCCGAGATTGGCAGACTCGGATAACTGGCGCAGCTGTTACTAGGTGGCGCTCACTTCTAAAAAAGGGTAAAGCCCCTTCATGTTTCCCAAGACAGAGGGGCTTTAAAAATGTAAACGTGAATTTTATCAAGGGACTTTATGCTGAATGAGTTATCGAAAGAAGACATGTTGTGTTATTTCATAACTAAACAACGGAACCCTATCTTTTTCGCTTCCTCTCGTCCCCAGCCACCAGCATGGCCCGTTTGCTCGAAGCCAGTTAACTTTAACCGCGGTTAAAAGTTAACCGCATTTCCTTACAAGGGGGAATTTCAGGTCACGTTACCGGCAGAGTAAGGACGGCGGGGAAATATGGCGGTGCCCCGGCGAGCGAGCACCGCTCGCTTTGGAGCTAATTAGCGGCAAGATGTTACGGTGGCGCCCTCGCATGGTTCCCTCTCGTGACGTCATGACCTTGTGAACAACATGTTCGAGGTAGGGTCACCATATTCCTCAAGGTAGAAAACGGGACACCCCGGGGGGGGGGGGGGGGGGGGGGGGGGGGTGTCCCGTTTTTTACTACGCATATTTTTACGTTACTACTACGCATATTTTTACTAGATCCGAATTACACGCTTTTCAATTTATGATGGTGTTACGTACAGTTCTTTCATGCTGGCCAGCCATGCTGCCAGTGCACCATCCGCCTCTCACTGCTCACTTCTTCATCGTCGTTTCTAGGACTGAACTTCGTCGTCGTCTTTCGAACTTGGAAGGAAATTTCAACGAGGCTTATCTTCAATTCAGACAGCCAAACATTTTGGACATTTTCCAAACAAGGGTTAGTTCAGTTTTACCTTAACCAATATCTGTACCACGATCAACAAAAAGTGTTTCTTAAGCTCAACTGTATGCCGCGCTGCCTCGCGAAAACCCGGTAGCACGCGTTTTTGAGTCCCCACTTTTTAGGGACTCTTTTTACGGAAGCCACTTATATTCGCTACAACCAGTACGTGACACCAGCTACCACCTCATAATGAAACATGGAGCTATCACTCATCCAGCCTTCGTTAAACTTGGCTAGGTACAGAGAAGGGCGGTTAACTTTTAACCGCGGTTAAAGTTAACCGGCTTCGAGCAAACGGGCCCAGGGCAGGCTATGCGGTATGGGCAACGAAAAGAAGAAAAAAGAAAAGAAAAAGAAAACAAGCCAGCCTGCAAGCAGTAAAAAAATAAAGGGGAGAGGAAGCGGTGTTGGGTGACGGTTACGCTTATGTCCTAAATGTATTCAATTGTCGCGGCGACGACAAAACAATGTTTTCGCTCATACTGGAAGTGACGATATTTCAAGATGATTAACGAGCGGCAATGACGTCACGCCACTACGGTGGCGCTGCTGTCGGCACGGCGAATGCGCAGACAACACTAGAGAGTTTTAGTAGATCGTTCCCATGATTCCGATAACGATACCCGATACTCCGCCACCGCCTCCCTTGCGCATGCATAGTATCGTTATCGGGGCTATCAGAGGTATCGGATCGATCTACTAAAACTTTCTACTGGCTGACACTTCACACGAATCTTGAGCTGCTGTTATGGTACACCATACTTCCGTGCTGACGTGCTGTCCAGGGGTTTCTCTAGGATTGTCAATCTACGTGTGAGCGGGAAAAGAGGGGGGAAGGGGGTTGTACGCAATACACTTATGTTTTTTTTTTTTTTTTTTTTTTGGGGGGGGGGGGGTGGGATTACGTGTCAGCACATCCATCGAGCCAGTACATCCATCGAGCCATTACATCCATCAATGGATGTAATGGCTCGGTGGATGTACGGGCTCGATGGATGTATTGACATGCGTATGGATGTAGCTGCTCGATGGATGTAGTTGCTCGTTGGATGTAGTTGCTCGCTGGATGAAGTGGCTCGGTGGATGTAATTGCTCGCCGTTCCTGTTATCATGCCTAGCGTGCCATTACATCCATCGTGCTAGTACATCCATAGAAGCCAAGATGGCCGCCGTGGGGCCGCAATTATATTTAAGCTGATTACTTTGTCTGCGGTATTCATATTCTCATTGGTTCGGAGCCTCAGCAAACAAGGGGTAAGCCACAGAACATTAGTGAATCACAACTGAACTCAACGGGGCATTCAAACTTTTTTTTTCTTGTCGAAAAGCGAAATAAAAAGTAAGATTATGTGTACCGTCCTAATCCCCTATTAAAGTAGTTTACTGTAGAAGATTTAATTTTCGCGATGACCTAATATTCGCGAGGACCTGAATTTCACGATTTGATCAAATTCGCGAAAAATTGGTCACGTGAATAAGTCACCCCATGAATATGAATACATTGCGTATATCTCCCTTTCACGAAATGTTCTGCCCGCGAAATTTCCGAAACCGGCACTTCGCGAAATGTCGAGCCCGCGAAATTAAACTCGTTTCTACTGAGTTACTTATGAGAGTTAAAGAGCAGTAACTAATGTTTCATACATGTGGAAACAACAAACAAGGAAAATAACGCCTTGTCATTAGGATCGGCTCCCAACGGCGGAAGTGGTGGCGCATGCGCAAAGCGGGTCGGGCCCAAACACTTTCGAGACGGGTTCGCGGACTGTTTTCATATGGCATGACACCCATACTCCCTCTTGATAATTTGAAGTTCGAGCTCCGTTAAATCCGGTAAATCCATCAGGACTGGGGGAGGCTCGTGCGGCTTCGGTGAGGCCGAGGGCCGCACAAGGTGCATGACGCACAATGGGTAATTTTACTTGCTTTTGTGCATTATTCATATTTTTCGGCGTATAACTCCTGAAATAATGGGAACTATTGAAAAATATATGGCTCGTTTGCTGCTGCGTTCACTGAGGTCGGGCTCAGGGCAAGATGATAGGCATGCTAAGCGGATTCGTTCTTTGATCTTTTGCCTTGCAGGCACTTTATGGTGAAATTGCGCCACGCGAACCATGTTTACAAATGTACAGATAACAGAAAAACCTTCTAGGCTTGAGTATGGAAAGCTCCGAACATATTCAGGATTGCCAAATGCGCTGGGTTAAGGCTACACCGCTCCCCACATCAGTATATCTCGTGTGAGCCCGTTATTATGATGATGCGTTTTGCCACCTCTCGTGACGATGCGACTACTTGCAACCAGGTACTACCGTGAGACAAGACCGATTTTTAAGCCTCTTGCGACGGCGGAGGACCGGATGCGCTGCCGCGGAGCAGGTCTTAAGCCGTCTATACTCTCTCGGTCGTACTCGGTTGCAAGTGTCTGAACAGCGCTTAAAAGAGTCGGTTCAGACATTTGCGTTTGACTGCGTTACGCCTGGTTACAACCAATGGCGATCCTCATGACGAGCCAATGGGGAGTCGACGCAGTCAAAGCAAATGTCTCAACCATCTTTAAGAGAATTACACTGACCCTTTCGCGATTGCTGCTCGCACCGGCACAAGCGGTCGCAAAGAGTCGTTCATAAGCAAACGCAAATGTCTGAAGTAGCTTTCAAGAAAGAAAGAAACGAAATGTGTAGCGGAGAAAATTTGCGTTAATTGATGCATGCAATGGCACGTTTTTGGATGAAGCTGCTTGATGGATATGATAACACGATGGATGTAATGACACGCTTTGGATGAAGTTGCTCGATGGATGTGATGGCGCAGTGGATGTAATGGCACGATGGATCCAATGGCACGTTGGATTTGGTTACACGCTGGATGAACTGGCCCGAAATGGATCTACTGGCACTATGGATGTACTGGCACTATGGATGTACTGGCACGATGGATGTAACGGCACGAGATTGGACGGATTTGCTCGATGGATGTAATGGCACGATGGATGTGCTGGCCCCAAGCCGGGGGGTGGGGGGGGGGGGGGGGAGAGGGGCTTTGGATTTATAAGTCACTGACGCTGTCATATCCTATTACCGCCCGCATTGGGATAAAAAAAAATCTTTTGTTCCCATAGTCAGGTTACTGCATGTTTTTGGAGAAGTTAATTCATTTTAAAGGGGTACGGAAACGAAGTGACGTGAGCGCGAGCTCTCTTCCTTTCGCTTCAAAGTCGGCCAGCGAGAAGCGCAATGCGTATCGCGCCGGTGACGTCAACAGTTCCTGCACTGCCAAGGGTACCGTAGTTGCGAGCGTTGCCGCTTGATGGCGTCAACGTGTGACGATCTCGCTTAGTAGTAATATCCGAGGACTGTACGATCTAGCTTGTCCATAACGTCCTTCGCGACCATACCCGTATTTTATGTGCCACGAGCGTTCGGTTCACCGTGTTAGTTTCACACCGCAAAAGTAGTAGCTCGAGGGAACCTGTAAGTAGAAATAACCGTTAGCACCCAGCAATGGCGAGGGGGAGAGTGAACTATCCTCATGAATTATACTATTTACTGGAATTCTTCTTTTTTATCTACCCTCATGAATTATACTATTGAGTTTCCAGGGGTAACTAACTCTTTGGTATGATATTTGGTGGCTAGCGTTCACATGTTCCTGACAAGGTTTCTCAATCATGTCGTATTACACCGACATGATTAGCTACCACCAGCTCGCCTGCACTCTCACCGTCTTTTCACTAAGGTTTCTCACTTGGGGCGCTCCCAGAAGACGCAGTTTTTCTTTCGGAAATGGCGCAATGGAGGCGGCA